GCAAGTGACACCTATAATTACTGCCACTGGACTTGCTGAAATTCCTGTTTAGGGGCTGAAACTCTTCAACCGGGATTCCTCCCAGGAAAAGCTTGTTTAATCCCTGACAATAGGGAGTAGAGATTACTCACCCAGTAGAGTCATCCACTTAGAAACTGCCTTGCTGGTGACGTCCCCATAAATCCTCCATACGTGGATCCTAGAACTGTCCTGTATGGGCCAGAAGGAGCCCACGTGAGGGCTCAGGGACAGTGGATGCCTTCAGGGATGGGTCCTCAACAGTGCCAAATTCTTAAGCAAATACTAGTTATTGGATTCACACGCTGAGCTGGTGAGGTAGAGTAGAAATATTTTAATTCTCCTTTTGTTCCCCTCTAACCCTGGCAGCCAGCAATGGAAGGGCTTGAAATGCTATTAAGAAACAGTGGCAGCCTGGCGTGGTGGCACATTCCTATAATCCCAGCACTTGGGAGGCTGAGGCAGGAGAGTGGTTTGCAAATTCAAGACCAGTTTAGGCTACAAAGTGAGCCTAAGGCCAGCCTGAACTGCATAGCAAGACTCTGTCTCAAAAAAACAGAAAGAAACAGTGGCAAGCAGGTTGCTGAATGAAGAGCCCTGTCTACACACTGCATTTAGGAAGGCAGGGAATATTCACTCACTCTGCCAATAGTTGTGGAAGTGGGGCCGGGATTAGGCAGACTGGTACAGCACGGACATGCTACAATGTAAGACTTGTCTCACCCCTGCACACCCACCAAGCATTGTGCCTATCTTGGGGAATGGTCTTAATCATTTTAAAGAGGGTGGTATTGGGGCTGGGGATTTAGCTTAGTGGTGTAAGTACCTGCTTGGCAAATGGGAGATCCCAAGTTCAATCCCCAGTACCAAAATAAATAAATAAATAAATTAATTAATTAATTAAAAAAATACAAGAGACTAGTACTTCTATCCCAAATTTAGTAGAGGAAAATTAGACTTACATAGTTTACTTTCTTTTAATCCTATTCAGCTACTAAGTGGTGGACACTGGGATTTACCTACCTGCTTGCCTTCCTTCCTTCGTTTTGCTTTTTTTTTTGTCTTTTTCCTTTTTATCAGTACCGGGGATTGAACTCAGGACTGCCTGCTTTCAAGGCAGGCACTTATGCCACTGAGCTAAATCCCCAGCCCCTTTGCTTTGTTTTTTAAGACAGGGCCTCACTCTGTAGTCCATGCTGGCCTTGAACACATGATGATCCCCCTGGCTCAGCTTCCCAAAGGCTGGGATTATAGGTACGTGGCATGATGGCCAGCTATTGCTATAATGTGTAGTTATGTAATATGGTTAAGTTGAGATGGCACCATTTAGGATCCAACCAATTTTGTTTTGCTACTGATGTAAGGTTTTTAGATTTTAAGGCTGGATTTTCCCTTTAGGCACTTTGACTACTACCTAACATGTACAATATTAAGCAATAGAAACAAGAACAGATTTTTTAGGTTGTTAAACACAGGAAGCATTTGGCAAACTATTCTAAACTCAACAGGACTGGGGGATTTAGCTCAGTGGCATAAGCACCTGCCTGGCAAGTGCAAGGTCATGAGTTCAATCTCTGGTAACAAAAAAAAAAAAAAAAAAAAAAAAAGTTAAACTCAATAAAACTTATATGTCAATGGATATTTAGTATTGAGTGATATAAAGTTGCCATTTTTACAATTAAAAATTATGGACTATTGTAAATTTCGTAATTCACCTTTAATCTTATTTTGTATGTATGAATTCAGCTGTATCTACATGGTTGTTTTCATCAAAACAGGCAATTTTATGCTGTGTGTGGTGGCATCCATCTGTAATCCCAGCTACTAAGGAGACCAAAGTGAAAGGAACACTTGAACCCATGATTTTGAGACCAATCTGGGTAACACTGCAAGACCCTAGTCTCAAAAAAAAAAAAATTTTTTTTTTATTCATTACAGCCCATGAAATAGGTTCTTAAAAATGGCTCTCCACCAGGTATATAGCTCAGTGGTACAGTGCATGCTTAGCATGTGCAAGGTCCTGGGGTTCAATCTGTAGCAACATTCAGGGCATGGTGATGCATACTGGAAAGCTCATCATTCAGGAGGCTGAGGCAGGAGGATAGCTTTAAGTCTGAGGCCAGCTTGGGCTATATAGAGTTCAAGGCTAGTTTGAATTGCATAATAAGACCCCATCTCAAAACAAATCAATCTGTAGCAACAAGTTGTTGAATGAATGAATGATGAAACACATAAATTGTGAGAACTAACTTTCCACTGAACACAACTTGCCTTTGGATTTAGGTTTGGCTGGGCATAAAAGAAATATCATATTAGTCTCATAAAATGTTAAAAAATTTGGGATGGAGATTTAGCTCAGCGGCATAAGCGCCTGCCTTACAAGCAGGCAGTTGTGAGTTCAATCCCCGGTACCGATAAAAAGGAAAAAGGCAAAAAAAAAAAAAAAAGTTCAGATAAAATGTTAAAAAATTCAACTTATTTATTTTTTGGTACTGGGGATTGAATTTATGACCTCTCATATGCCAGGCAGGTGCTTTGCCACTGAGCTATATCCTCAGCCCCAAAAATTCAATTTAAAAACCTAAATTAAAAAAAACAAAAACAAAAAACAAAAACCTAAATTAAGCCAGGCGTGGTGCTCATGCCTGTAATCCCTGCACTTGGGTGGCTGAGGCAGGAGGGTTGTTGGGGGAGACCCATCTGGGCTACAAAGTGAGCTCCAGTCCAGCCCAAACTGCACAGCGAGACCCTGTCTCTAAAAGATAAAACAAAACAAAAAAACCCCCACCTTTACCCAAGAAAATTGAAAACATGTTCACACAAAAACTTGTATATGAATATTCATAGCAGTATTATTTATTCATTATAGCCAAAAAAAGAGAAACAACCCCAATTTCTACCAACTGATGAATAGGTAATTGAATAAATAATATATTATATCCGCACAAGGGAGTATGTTCAGTCATAAACAAAAATGAACTACTGATACATGCTACGATAGGGATGAACCTTGAAATATAGTATGCTGAGTGAAGGAAGCCACACAAAGGTCTCGTATTGTATTAACCACTCACGGAAAATGTCTAGTATAGGCAAATCTTAAGAGACAGATCCTGGCGTGATAGCACACAGGATCATTGTGAGTTTGAGGCCAGGGTGGGCTATACAGTGAGTTAAAGCCTGGAATACACAGTGAAACTCTTTCTCAAAAAGAAAACAAAAAGGAGCTGGGGATTTAGGTCAGCAGGCATAAGGGCCTGCCTTGCAAGCACGTGGTTGTGAGTTCGATCCTGGTACTGATAAAAAAAAAATAAAATAGAGACAGAAAATAATTAGTAGTTTTCAAGAGAAGGGGGATAAAAAAAAATGTGTAGTGACTACTCATGGATACTGGATTTCTTTTTGGAGTTGGGAAAATGTGGAATTGGAATTTGGTGATGCTTGCACTGTGTGTGTGTGTGTGTGTGTGTGTGTGTGTGTGGTACTTGAGATCACATCTATGCCAAACATGTGCTCTACCACTAGTTACATCCTGGAGCTCTTTTTTCTTTTTGAAAAGTAGAAGGAAACTTCTACTCTTCAAAAGATGTCAAATTTTATTATTATAAAATAATAGGTGTTTATGAAACAGAGTATTAGGAAATGTTCCCTTGTTTAATTATAAATCAAATTGGAATGTTTGGAGATTTTAGTAATCTGATAGCAAACTGTAAGAGGATTAATTTAACCTAAATTTCTCAGTGTTAACATCAATTTAAACTGTGTCGTTCAAAAACTTTATAATCATATTGAAATAATTATAGTAATGACTTCATGAAAAATTACCAATTAAATTAATTGTCTTTTAAGGCTCTTATTTAAAATACCCTGTATTTATATGATGCTCTTACTTCCTGAAGTACTGAACTGTGCCGTAACTGCTAATGTGTGGGAGAGCCTCCTCTCTAAGCACTTGATTAAAGGCAGAAAAGTGGGTGGGATTGGACAGGAATGTATTAGCAATGCTAACATTCCAGATTGGAACACAAAGGAAAGCAGGAGTGAAGAAATCTAATGCTAGTCTTCTATGCAGACAGTTAAATCGCAAGAATTAAAATTACTACATCCTGGAGCATAATTTAAAAAAATGCAACCTACACCCACGTGCATCAAAGTCTGCATCGCTAAGAGTAGATTGTGAATGAGAAACAGAATTTAACCAGAAGTAAGGTTTTATTTCGGCTTTTTTCTAAGCCAAAAGACAACATGGAAATAGTTTAAATCCTCTCCCCAAGCACTCCTGAATAATTGTACGCGGTTACACTGGGACGGGTTAGGGTGGAGGATTTCACGTGGTAAACCGAAAACGCAGTATGCAAGTTATCTTACCTTACACCAATATCTACAGTAATTCGCCTTCATTTTTAGCATTCTGATTTATCTTTTGTGTGGGACGGGTTTCAGTGTGCAGTTCAGGCTGGCCTAATGCTCACTCTGTAGCCTAGGCTGGACTAATTTGCAACGACTCTCCCAAGTGCTGGGATTACAGGCTTGCACCACCACGCCCGACTCTGATGGTCTTTTTTGAATCCAAAAATTCAGAAATTCTTTCTAAATTCTAAATTAATGCGTGACTTTTGTAAAAATTCCAAGACTTTTGTTGGGGCAACGCATCTAGACCTTTTTGGGACAAGGACGGCACCTTGTGAGGTCGTGCCGCGCACTCTCGGGCCTCGCTCAGAAGAGGACAGTCCCCTCTAGACACGTTCCGGTTCTACCTATGGCAGGCGGAGGTCGCAACGCGCTCCGCAGAGGTCGGGATCTTCTGCGGTCCCAGTCGCGGCCCTATTCCACCCCCCCCCCTCCCCGCCTGCTGGCCGAATAGCGGTGCGGCGCCTTTAACTTGGCGCGCCGCCCGGGGTGCCGGCCAGGGCCCTGCACCTCCCTCGGCGCTGCTCCCCCCCCACCCGAGTTTCAGGTGAATGTGTCACCGAGGGAGGTGACCGCGCCACGCCACGCCACGCCTGCCAGCGAGCGCTCACTTCCTCCTCTGTCCTCCCCAGCGCGAGTCCGGGGCGCGCAGGCAAAGCGCTAAGGAGACGGCCGGGTGCACAGGTGGGCGCCGGCCTCTGTGCGAGCGTTGGTGCGCATGCCCGGAGGTGGGGCGCCGGGGGAGGGGAGAGGGCGGGAGGGGGGGGAGGCCGAGTCCCCCTCCGGCGTGGCGCGGGCTGCCGCGGTGTCGGGTGCGACCCCGCCGGGTGAGCGCGGTGGGCCATAGGTGGGTCTGGCCGGCGCGGGGCGCGGGGCGCTAGGCGCTGGGCAGGGCGGTGGGGCCGGCGGCCAGGGCGCTGGGCGCGGGTGTTAGAGGTGGGTTCGCCCCCGGCCGGAACCTGCGGCGCGCTGAGGGAGCAGGCCCCTGGCAGCTTTCCCAGCGCGAGGGGCGATTCGGTCACTTTCCTCGAGGGACGCGAACGGCGCGGAAGGCAAGAGGTTTGGGAACTTAGGGAAGACCGCGTTCAGCCCCGGCTGGGGAGGGGTGCAGTCCGGCCCCGCGCGCCCCATTTCCTCCTGGTCGCCACTTCGGGAACCCCGAGAAAAGGCGGCGTCTGGTTTGTCTGTCAACTTTTTTGGGGGGGATATTGGGCGTCGAACTCTTGACCTCGCGCTTGCCAGGCTGAGCTAAATCTTCGACCTGGATTGTCTCTGAAAAGTGCTATTTGTTTGTTTATTTCTGGGGATTGAAACCCAGGCCGCCACACTGAGTACGTCTCCAACACCTTTATTTTGAGACAGGGTCTCTCAAAATCCCTAACTTGCCCAGGCGGAGTTCTTCTGTGTGATCCTCTTGCCTTAACCTCCTGTAGTGCTGGATTGCAGGCGTTCGCCCCACATCCCGTCCGCTGAAATAATTGTTGGAGGTGTGGGTCACACAGGCGCGTTTGAAGCCGCTTAGTTGGGGTTCTGTGGACCTGCGTCAGTGTAAACTGGAGGAAGGAGAGCTACTTTCGAGCTGGATTTTGAGGGAAGCGGCTCCCTCCGCGAAGTCCCAGCCTCGACCGAAAGAAAGGGAGGCAGGAGCTGTGGGTGCATGACCTGCTCCGGGCGGTGCCTGCTGGCTCCCGCGGTCCCCTGAGCTCCAAGCTGGGCCCTACCCCGCTGGCTTACCGCCCACGCTGGGAGTCAGCCGGGCGCGGAGGAGCTGGCACCTTTCCAGGCAGGTTAGCGTGTGACGGGCGCGCACCCTAGGTGCGTTCTCGGATCCCTGGAAAGGAGAAACGCTTTGCTCTAAGGCCGTGTGATTGTCGCAGTGGAGGAAAACCAGTTCTTTCTTGGCTCAGGTGGGTGAGTCAACTTTGCATCCCTACGTGGAGCTGTAGGTACTTAGCGCCACACGTTAATCATGATTTTCTTCCAGTGTTTGAAAATGGGTACTTTTAAATGGTAGAGCCACAGGAATAGGTATTGTCTCCAAGACAACATTTAGCCCGTCGTGCTGGCACAAGCCTGTAATCTCGGCTCTCTGGGGGCAAAGGCAGGGGAATAGCAAATTGGAACGGGGCGGGCACTCTGGTGACTTAGGGAGACCCAGTGTTTAAAAAAAAAAAAAAAGTGAGGTGGAATTGCTGGGGTTGTAGGTCATTTTGGAGACCGAAAACAAAACGCTTTAGTTTTCCATTTAAAATCCTCATTGGGTGCCTTCTTTGTTAGGCTTTGGAGGGAATATGAAATAAGTAGAACAGATTCCATATTTTCCTGCTGCTTACAGGCTGCTTAGGGAAATTAGGGGCGGTGCCTATTATGGAAGAGGCGCTCTGCTGTTAAAAGCAGGTCCAGTTAAGAGTATTTGAAGCTGGATAAACATATTTAAAATGCGCTGGTTCAAAAGAAGACTGTTTCAGCCAGTCATAGAAGGTATTTATAGACTTCTCTATCCCTGACTAGGCCCTAAGGGCTGGTTTAAGTTTTTTGCATGTTGCTTGACATAATGGTGAATTCTTTTTTTTCTTCCAGTACTGGGGATCAGATCCCAGGATGCTCTAGTATGCATCCATCTCCATCCCTATTTATTTGTTATTTTGAGGCAGTCTTGCTAAATTTCAGAGGCTGACCTCAAACCTGTAATCCTCTTGCTTCAGGTCCCAAAGCCCTGGATTCACGGGCATGTGCCTCCATACCAGACTCTCTTGTGTTTTCTGTCTTCCTTTCTTTTTTTAAAAGAAAATATTGGAATTATTATTTTTTTTTTTTGTCTTTTTCATTTTTATCGGTACCGGGGATTGAACTCACGACTGCCTGCTTGCAAGGCAGGTGCTTATGCCCCTGAGCTAAATCCCCAGCCCCTGGAATTATTTTTTCATAATAATATCAGAATTACTTTTAGGCCTGAGAGAACTCTCATCGAACTCTTACCTAGCATGCAAGACAGTCTGAATTGAATTTTCAATGCCAGAAAAAAAAATGCTTATAAAAGCACATTAGTGATGGGTTTTGGAGCCCAATGTGTTGGTGCATGCCTGTAATCCCAGCACTCAGGAGGACGAGGCAGGAGGATTGCTGTGAGTTTCGCCTGAAATGCATAGTGATACCCTGTCTAGAAACGACCAAAAAAAAAAAAAAAAAAAAATGTGTAATGCCTTTCCACCTTCTCAGGTACCTAAGTTTTCTTTAGTTGCATTTTAAGACTTACTTGATTGATTATTTACTAGGCTAATCTTGAACTCACAGCAATCTTCCTGCCTCAGCCTCCTGAGTGCAGACATGTACCAACATCCTCACCTTTATTTATTTTTTTTTCTTTTCTTTTTTTTGGTAGGCTTTTTCATCCACATGACTACTGGTAGAAGTGTTAAGGTAAAAAACCTCGCTGATCTTTGTTTTAGACCCTAGGCTTCCAGTGTTTTTGCTGTTGACAGTGGTGCCCGTCACTTAGGCACCTTGCCATTCTGATCTGGAGGTTAGAATTCTGCCTAACAAGCTCTTTCCCTCACCCTGGGCTCCGTAGTGCTATGTGTCCTGTCCCCACTTTCTCTCAGAATGAAAGTGCTTAACTACTTTAGCCAGACAGAACTTGAGGAGGCATATTTACTGGGTGTTAGTGAAGAGTTTAAAGGCATTCACTGGTGGACTGAAATTCCAGCTCCAGTGTGGTCTGTTGTTTTATTAATGACATTTGAAGAGACCATCCTTGAGGCTAGTAACTGGGTTGAGGAACTAGGGAGAAGTGCTGGTGAACACAGGTGTCTCAGTGCTTGTGAAAATGGTGCTCCAGATGGGGTAGAAATGGTAGGAGAATAATAATAATGATGATGATGATAACTCTTTGGTGAGGAAAATTTGCTCTGGAATTCCATGTGATGGAGTGAGCAACCTGGAGGCCATGTCTGAAGAGATTACATTTGAGCTGAGAATTGAATTTGGAGACTTTCCTGATAGTTTTTCCTCTCCGGTGTTGGGGATTGCATATGCTAGGCAAGCACTTTACCTCTGAAGTATTTCACCAGCCGTTGGCAGAGATTCTTAAGATAGATGATTTGCTTAAAAGTCATCTGAAGCCTGGGCATGGTGGCACTTGTCTGTAATCCTAGCACTATGGGAGACTGAGGCAAGAAGATCCAGAGTTGAGTGCAGCCCAGGCTGATTAGCAACTTAGAGAGCCGTTGTCTCAAAACAGCTTAGACCACATCAGCAAATCCTGTTTCTAAACGAAAAATAAAAGGCCATGGCTGCATCTCAGCCTTGAGGGGAGAGGTTGGGAGGGTTGGGGGAGTGCATGTTACTTGGATACCTAATAAAAATGTAGTTCCTCGTGGTAATAGTCCATTTCAAAATCTGCTTGATTTCACAGTTTTTGGGAAGTTGTTGTGATATGTCTGTTGTCTAAATTGAATCATTTAATATCAGTTATGACTTAAACTTTTTAAAGGCGAATTGACCGTTGCTATATGTGACCTAAAAGGAAGAGGGACAGAATTCTATTGGTGCACACCTATAATCCCAGCACTTGGGAGACAGAGGCAGGATGATTGCTGAGTTCAGGACCAGCCTGGGCTATGTAGTGAGATCCTGTCTCAAACCCCCTCCCCCTCAAAAACTAATAAAGTTAGTTTATTCCAGGCTAGCTGCAAATTTGCCGTGAGCCTCTTGCCTCAGCCTCCCAAGTGCTGAAATTACAGGTGTGTGCTACCGTGACTGTCAGAGCAAAGCATTGTAAGACTTTTTTTTTTATGTGTCAGCTTAATTTTTTAATTTTTTAATTTTTAATTTTTTTGGTGGGGGCTGGGTCTTACTATGCAGTTAAGGCTTTGAACTCACTATTTAGCTTAGGCTGGCCTTGAACTCACAGCAACCTTCCTGCCTCAGTTTCCGGATTCCTGGGATTACAGATGTGCGCTACCACGACTGGCGCCTCAGTTTTTTTATTAAGATGGCTTTTAGCCAGTAAACATGTTCAGGGAGAGAACATTAGTATACATTTTAACATTCATTGGAGGTGCTGGTTTTCAGTGGAATATTTGTAGCTGATTCTGTTTTGCCCTTCTGACGCTGTGACCCTCTTGACACATTTGTAAAGGTCCTCCAAATCCACTGGTCTTTCCATTCATTTTTTTAAAAATTAAATTTGGATTTAAAAATTTTTATAAAAAGTTTGTGTACATGTTTGAAGTGCATATGTTTACATTCCTTGTGTGGAGTTGGTGTGGGCACAGAACACAGCTCAGCCCCTTCACTCAGCACACATCCGCATTTGCTGCGCTGGGCTTTGCTCCCCGTCCTCCTGTAGCTGCTGGCAAAGTCACAGACTTTGCCTTCAAAGAGACCTTGAAGTCTCTCAGTCCATTCTCTAAAAAATAACAAGTGACTGAAGTTTTTGTGTAAGTGCCATGAGCTCAAATGGTTATTTGTTATTTTGTGGGGAGGGAGGAATAAGGGTGAAAGAGGAACTTCCTAACTTTGAGATGAAGTATTATGCTGTGGGTTTGTGTTGTTTTTGGTTTTGTTTGAACTATTTCTAGGACTACAAAGATCCTTCTAAGGCAAGCTGGTTTGGTAGGATAACCCTGTACGCCCATCACACTGAGCGGCTGAGGCAGGAGGATCACAAGTAGAAGTCCAGCCTTGGTGATTTAGGGACTTTAGTACAAAAATAAAAAATAAAATCTCGAAATAAAAACATAAGGGCTGGGGATATAATTCAGTCCCAACGCACCTAGGTTTTGTCAGGTCAAACATTTCCTGTTTTTCCAATCATTTGTTTTAAAACATGTGATGTTTTTGGATCCTTCACAATCCGTAGGCTCCCTCCCATCTACTTTAGGACATAATGAACAGATCTCAGATTTTATTTCTTTTTTCTTTTTGTTTAACTTTTTATCGGTACCGGGGATCGAACTCATGACCTTGCAAGGCAGGTGCTTATGCCGCTGAGCTAAATCCCCAGCCCCTCAGATTTTATTTCTTTTATAATTCCTAAATCTGAGTGCTTTTTCTGTGAATGCTTTTTAGCTTTTTGGTTTTGTTTTGTTTTTGGTACCAGGAATCGAACTCAGGACCTCACACTTGCCAAGTAGGCAGTTATACTACTGAGCTAAATTCTCTGGCTTTTTGTTTTTTTGGTACTGGGGATCGAACTCATGACCTCACACTTGGCAGGCAGGCATTGTACCACTGAGCTAAATCCCCAGCCCCTTGTTAGCTTTTTGTTTTGTTGTTATCGTTGTTTTTTTTTTTTCAATCTTTTAGAGACAGGATCTCACTATGCAGTTGAGGCTGGCGTTGAGCTCACTTTGTAACCCAGACTGGTCTTGTACTCCAAGTGAACTCCAAGTGATCCTTCTGCTTCAGCCTCCAGAGTGCTGGGATTACAGGTGTACACTACCATGCCTGACAATGCTTGTTAGCTTTTGTTGAAGATCTTAACCAGAAAATACTATTTGTTTTTGGAAATGCTACTTTAAAAAGTGATTAAAAGTGAACATCAGCTGGACACGGTAGCACATGACCTGCAAGGAAGATCACTGTAGATTGAGGCCAGCCTGGGCTACAAGGACCCTGCCTCAAACAATAATGAACATCAGCAAGGGAAGTGGCATGTACCTGTGATTCCAGCACTCTGGGAGGATGAGGCAAAAAGATTGCAGGTTCAAGTCCTATCAGGTGAATTTAGAGAAATTGTCAAAATAAAAAAAAAAATTTGGTTAAAAAAATGTAAAAATTGTTGGATATTTGGCCCAGTGCTAAGGCTTATCTCTAGTACCTAAAAAAAAAAAATCTATTAAGTGAGGTTCTTTTATTTATCGT